TCAGTAAAGTTGATTTGCTCCACATCCAACTAAGTCAAACAAACGCGATATTCTTGCCAAGTTCTTCGACGTTATGAGAAAAAATACGCTTTATAAACACACAATTCTGATTTTTTTATACACAAATCAGAAAAGTTGAATATTGCGTTTCTGCGTGAATAGCTTAATCGAATGCTACAACTTTTTTTCATTTGTAATGTTCACTATTTCCTAGCCTTATAAACTCCAAATAACACAAAATGACTGTTATTTTTTAATAGTTGACAAGTCAACACATTATTGATTTCAATATAATGACCCATTGCAATAGAGATCATACACCGTGTGCAAAGTCACGGAATATACATAATATGCCTTTTCCGATCAATCAAGGATCATTACGCCTGAACGACAAATTGAAAATCGTCAATATCAATTTTGTCATCAGTAACCTTTAAAGCATTGGCTAAAAAGTTCATAATCTATTGCACGGAAGCGACATAAAGTGCCATCTTCCAAACAAGGACCACAACTGAATGGTAGGCGTGAAAATCGTCAGTATCGAATTAAACCTCAATCAGTAACAACATATTCGAATTTGAAAAGCATTGCTTGAAGGCTTGATAAGTTGTTGTATGGGAAGTGTTGGCAGCCACCCTTCACCAACCGTAATTCACAATTTTAATAACCCGATTCTTCTTTCGGAAAACCCGGTTTAAAATCAGTTGAAAAAGGATGGACTCATCTGATCAACACAAAGCACAATAAATACTAACAAAAAACTTAAGACACAAAATGTCCATCTAAGCGTACTCGTAGTTACTGAAAACTAGCCCAAAGCCAATAACAACTAATAACTATAAATCATGTTTCCCAAACTAAAATATCAATTAGTACACATCGAATGAATTAAGAGTAAAGACGTCATCAGCAGTCAGAGAAAAACATAACATTATGCAAAGCCAAAATATAAATATCGAAAGGATGTAGAATCGTATGTATGCATAGCTGTATAGAAATACATATTAAGTAATGTTTTAATTAATAACTAAAAAATGATAGTCCGATAAAAACAGTATTCGTGTATCTTATTACAGTTTTCAACTGATAACCTTTGAGAATACGTTTATTCAAAGGATCTGTCTAAAAAAAATATACACACCAGTAGGCAATTGCAACATACCGGCGTTTGCCAACACGAAATCTAGTAAAAAAACTTACATTTCTGTCGTGTTCTATTCAACTGGATGTGAAATGAAGATCCAATACTTATTTTATCAGCATTTCCTTGTGGCTTATGTTGCGTTTCATTCCAGTTTTAATGAAACGGTGAGTAGACTTGTTTAACCAGTAGCGAGTAACTTATTTGAAAGTCGTGGTCTTGGAACCAAGTTTCAACAGAAAACTGATCCAGTTTGAAACATCTAATAGCTAGCTGTAAATGTGATATATATAGATACAGATAGTTTTATAAACCGACCAATGTGCATATTAATGGGTGATTAATCAATAAGCATTAAATCAATTAAAAAAATTGAGAGTATCGTCTGCTAAACAAGAGTTAACTTTTCTTTATATTTGATGACATGAGCTTCATACTTTCTTTTACTTTCATTATATTTTCTATTTCCTAATAGTTCATTGTGTGGGTTCGTGGTCTAGTGATTAAGACCGATTTTTACAATTAGAAAAACAGAGGCAACAATCAAAACTTATTACTGAATAAAAGACAAAAAAGGAAAAGTTTCTCATGATACTGGTGACATTTTAGATATCATTTTTAATTTCTATTCAAATCTTTATTCTTATGTCAAAATAAATAACGATGACAAAAGCAAGAATGGTAATTTCCTACAAAATGACATTAAGCAATTTGGAATTAAGATATGTGAAAATGTAATAGAAGTTTTAGGAGTTTGCGTCGGAAAATCTCAAGAAAAATGTAATATCTTAAACTGGGAGAAAAAATCAACTCAATAACTACTGTTTTAAATTTATGGAAACAGAGATATCTTTCACTTCATGGTAGATTTGCTGTTATATCATCTCTACTGATGTAAAAATTGTGGTACACACTTACATTGGAGACAATTCCTTCTAAATACTATTTACAAATTCAGAAAATATGTGCTGATTTTTTATGGAATCTTAAAACTCACCATGTGGCTTATGAAACAATTATTTCAGAAAAATTCTAAAGGTGGATTACATTTTCCAAACATAATGCTCGAAATGGTTGCCTTTAGGCTAAAATTTCTCAGTATACTATTAAATTCGCATTTGAATCTGTGGAAAAATATTTGTACATATTTCTTTTCGAAAATAGAAAACATGAATCTTGGAAAAGAAATTTTACTTTGCGATTTGAAACAGTCTTCTTATTCAAAACTTCCCGTTTTCGTTCGAGAAATGTTGCTTGCATGGAGCAAAATGAAAAATTTTGTTGCCTTTGAAGCTAATGAAAATAATATTCATGAGATATCAACATTTTTAAACTCCAGTGTGGAAAGAAAAGGTAAATTATTAAACTATAAACCTTTCATTTTTGCAGGAATTACAAAAGTTAAAACATTGAACATATGTCATTCCTGGCTTTCTGAAATTTATAGCAATCCAAGAAATGTTATCTGAGAAAGATCCTGATCTGAAATACGATGATGTCTGCCTCCTGAATGGAACAAAGTACTCGAAAATTTTATCATCTCTTAATAAAACTTTTTGACAAATCTCCTGTATCAGAATCTTATTGGATTGAAAAGTATCCAGGATTAGAACTTTCAAAGTGATATATTTTTTCAAATTTACATATCCTGCCATGAATGCAAAGAACTGAATTTTCAAGTATGTCACAGAGCTTAGTTTACGAAAGTTAAACTTTTGAAATGTAACATGTCTGATAATGACACTTGTCCAGTGTGTAAACAATCTAGAGAAGATTTAAATCATATGTTCATTAATTGCGTCAATCTGTCACAATTCCCTGATTTTCTGAAAGATTTTTTTTTATAAATTTTATGTGCACTGTTGATGCCACCTTTGTAAACAACAGGTACGTGGGGGCCTCGGTTGGTCAAAATTGCCCCAAAGTTGGCAAAACTTTGACCTGGGGATCAATCTGCTGATATTTTTCGGTTTGTGTGTTTACGCCTAGCACCCCAGTGGTTCTCTCGGGGTACTTCGGCTTCCTTCACCATAAAAACAGTCTGCCAGGTGTACTAGAACTCCCTTTGTCTTGGGGTGGGGATTATCCTTGTAAAAACGTTAGTGCCACATCTCCATTAATCCTGATAGGGAGTGTACACGGATTTCACTGTACCCTCGCAGCTCTCGAGGGGTGCTCTGAAAAACGAAGGGATCTACGTACCTACATACATAAGCGGCGTTCCCGCTTTTATTTGTAAATCGAATTACGTATATACACAATTATTTCTGTATACACATAATTCGATTTACGTAAATACGTCATTATTTTTGTATATATATATCGAATTATGTATATACACAAATAAATATGTTTGACCCTGGTACCGCGCCATATTTTTGTGTTGTGTTTCAAAAAATGAAACACTTTTTTTTTATTTTGAGATTATAATTTGTTCAACCCTGCAGAAGATGGAAAAAATAAATTAGTACCAGGATTTAATTTACTATGGTCCCCTCTTTTAAAGAGTCAGTAAGAGTCGATTGTTCAATGACGTCATTTACGACGATTTGGCCTTTGGTCAATCGGCGACTCAGTCATAAAAAAGAACTCGAAATTGGTCCATAGAAATTATACTAGAAAACCGAAGAAAATGGTATTAAGTATGGGAAAAAAATACTTTGAATTTTGTTGATTTATTTCATTTTTTTTTTGTAAACTGAAACAGTCAACAATCTATTTCATTCAAGAAGTGAAGAAATAACAAGATAATACAAAACTGTCTTCCTTTTGCATCATGACAACAGCGGTACATGATCGTATACGTCGGCCGTTTTGAACAAAATGATAAAGGTCATTCGTAGTCGATCAAACTTTCGATGTGTCACCATACATATAGGCCTATGGTTAAACCACATAAAGATATGTTGTCCTAACCGGACACATTTTCTGAATCCGAGTCGAATGTTGAAATGGAGCTAACGCAATTTTAAATTCCTAGTGGTATCCGGGTCAATAGAAAAGAATTCACGGTTTTACAGACATGACAGAAAACCCTCTTTTGTAATTTATGAATTGTAAAAACTTTCATTTGATAATCATCGGAATCTTAAAGTGATATAGATTTTTCTAGAGCAGCTGTCTATGGGTACATCAGGGTCCGAAGGATGTCTTTTATCTATATTCTGTTCAAAATAAGACAATTTGCATATGTCTAACGTGAGGGTACCCAAATATCACCTACATGTATTTTGACAGTTTTTTCACCCACGTGTATTTTAAGGATCTGACAATTGTTTCCATTCTGTGTTTATTGTGTAGATGTATCATTCATTATACAAAAATTAATATTGAATCCATACTGAATCAGAAAAATGTGCTTGAACCTGAACCAACCTCCAAACGACCCAAGATTATGTACCTAAATTGCATCTATGCATAAATTCACATCCGTAAAAATCGAATAATGAATGTTTTGTTTTATTCCTCCACATTTTTGGAACAATTTGACAATAGTTCATGCTTACTTTTCATTTTGAAAGAAACAGATGCATCGGACGGACATATTTAATTGCTCATTTTTAAAAGTTGACTTTTTTGGACGTCGCATGCGACGTATCCATAAAGTTGAACTTTACTTTTTTCTCTCGGGATACTTCATCTGTTGATATATAATGTGACCGTTTTGTGCACATTTAAATGTATTTAGCTATTTTGAAAGACTTGCATAATGGCAAATTATAAAAATGCAAATTATTTTATATGCTAGAGTTAAGAAAACTTTCCGATGCTTTTTTGCAAAATGGGTGCATTTTGGGTACTGTTACGTTAGACCTTAACAAATAACATCATTTAAATGATATTAGCATTATAATGGAAAAAATGTTCATCATTGTTTATTTGAAAAACTATTGACAATAATAAATAAATCATAGACTGAATTGTTCTTTCCATTTCTGAAGTTCGTTTAGAGTAACACCACTCCCCCCACAAACTACCACTAATACAGACTTCATAGGTCCAAGTTCTCCTTCTTTCACAAGTTTCTCAATAACTCCACTATATACGGCGGCTAATGTAGCTCCACACGCCGGTTCCACAAGCATTCTGTGATCATCTGCAAAACGCAAACATGCGCTAACTGCTTCCTTGTCGTCCACAACTGAGGATATAACTTTATGTTTAGAGCAGTATTCTAATGACGTAGCACTAACAGTACAGGCACCAAGACATTTGGCAACACTGGTTATACCCGGTAAAGTTACAAGTTTATTTGCCTTGACAGCAGCATTAAGACTGTCGGCTCCGTCAGTTTCCATTACTAACAGTGGTACGTCATTCCAGCCTTCCTTCCACATACCTTGTAATAATCCATTCATTAATCCACCTCCACCACAACAGGTCACCACCAAGTCTGGTTTGAATCCAAGCTGTACTGATGATTCAGCAATGATTGTCGAATGACCTTCCCAAATGTCCGGATGGTCAAATGGGTGAATGTAAACACAATCAGGATCTTTTGCCAGTTCTAAAGCATGTGTATTACTTTCGTCCCACATGCTGCCATGATAAAGTACCTCAGCCGAGAAGTTTTCTTTCAGTTTGTCAGCTACGAACTGAGGTGTGCTCGTTGGCAAGACTATGGTAGCAGGTAAATCTAACTGCTGGGCAGCATATGCAGCAGCGAGTCCGGCATTTCCTCCTGAAGCACAGACAATACGTTTACATCCACTTTCCTTTGCTTTTTGGCACAAATTTCCAATGCCACGTATTTTAAAAGATCCAGGTATCTGAATATTTTCTAGCTTTAGATAAACTGAAAATCCTGTTAGTTTTGATATAGACGGACTTAACACTGTTGGTGTTTGTAAGTGAAGTTTTGATTTTAGATCATGCGAATTCATCGTATTGATATATAGCTTAAAAAGTAGGCCTAATAGTCGATATAATTGATATTTGTTGATCAAAGGTAATACACAAAACACGTGAGGTAAACAATAATGTGACTAATATTAGAATAACTTCGGATGAGATCTGTTAGTTTTACGACCTTAGGTATGGTGCAGAGACCGCTTTAAAAAGTGTTGCATTTGGAAGACAGACAGGGTGTTTTAGACAAAATTTCTTCAAAGACATGGAAACAATATTTATATTACAAAACCTTTTGTTTTATTACGTAAATGATTGGAATCACACATCATAATAGTTCGAATGATAATCAAATATGAGATTTCTAATCAGTGATAAGTTACGAAGATAAAATTAGCAAATTACAATGAATACCATATATATGATCATATATAGATAGGCAAGGATTTGTATAGTGATGGTGGACGAAAAACGACTAACGAGATGCATCACGGTAAATCTCGCAAAATCTCATCATACGCAGCTTATTTCAATACAGGCAATGCAAATAGTCCACGAGATTCCAATCCTTCTCACTATACAAATCCTTGAGATAGGGTACGAATTTTTAGAATAGAGAATAATAAGCAAATACTACAAAAAATGGACCAAAAAGTTAATGAACAGAGAAAAAATTACCAAAAAAATAATAAAGAATAGAGAATAAATGGGGTGCTGAAATATAAAGACGAGAATAATGGGTAAAATTTATAAAGAATAGAGAAAAGTGGCAAAACAAATTAAAGAATACCGAAATGAAGAACGCCCCAATCAAAAACTTCATATAAGGGAGCTACCATTTGATTTTATGGGGGGGCTAGGATGAAAATTTGTGTCCTGCATTTTTTTTTAGTTGTAATCTCTGTCCTGCCTTTTTATTTTTCACTCTGTTCGGTCTTGCCTTTTTTTTTAAGTTTATCCTGACTTTTTTTTACCTAAATTGCTAAATTGTCATCCTGACCTTTTTTTTTTGCAAGTGTCTCATCCTGCCTCTTGTTTTACTCAAAAATCCTGTCCTGACTATTTTTTTCAAATTTCATCCTAGCCCCCCCCCCCCCCCCCCCCATAAATATCAAATGGTAGCTCCCTAAGCTATTTACACATATGAATACATTTACTGAAAGTGGAAGTTAGTCGAGAAAACTGCATGATCGACTCGACTGACTTATACTGAAGTCCTGCCACAAGATCTATTTCCAGGCAGTTCGAATGTAAAATTCAATTTAAGGTGGCATGATGAGCCTCACCCGGGTCTTGATCAAAATCCATAGAATTTTTTAATAATTTGTCAAAATGTAGTTTTTATCATGCTTTTTTCCGAAATATAATAAAAAGTATGGGTCACCGGACTTTTTTTCAAGCTACAGGTTTACGGGTTATGCAAAATTGTCAGATTTTGTATAGATTATGCATTGAAAATCCAATTTTGTGTCAGTGATTAAAAGAAAACTAAACCATAGAATTTTAAGATAAAATGTGAGAAGAAAGCTCTAATAACATGCTTTCAGATAAGAAATAGAAAAAAATGGGGTCACCGGACTTGTTTTCTTGCTACATATTGAAATAGATAAATTCACAACACTTTCTTTTATAAAAATTACTTTACCTGAGTTATCTCCCCTGCTACTTCAAAATTCAAGATGGAGGAAGACACCCCAGCCACCTTAACTTCAGTTTGAGTCCTTTAGATCCACATACATGACATAGCGTATACCACAATATAGAATGTAAAACAAGAATTTACTGTCAGGTTAACAACAATATATTCTGTAGAGAGAAATTGATTTTTATACATAACAATAAAATAAAAAGCTGTTCCTGCCTACCGAGTCCAAATAATTATGACGTCTTGCAAGGCTTTTTTAATTTTTTTCTGTGACGCCTTCCTACGACGTCATAACGCTGAAGCCATTTTTTACGTCTGGACTTTAAGAGAGAATTTTGGGGGGAACTTTGAGACCCAATTTTGCATGAAATCTTCATTGCCGACTAGAAATTTTTGCATAGTTACAAAGTCTTACCTTTTTTGTGCTTATTGATGCAAAATATTTCCAGAAATATCCAAAAGAAATGATAAAATAAGATACGATTCCATTTGAGATGAGCAAATATTTACTTTAATTTCAAAATGGTTTCCCAGAATTTCCAAAATACGTCACTTCCGGAGAAATAATTGAATTTCAAAGTTTTAAGATTTATGTTATTTGGAACCCCAATGAAGCTATGTACTTTCATTGTTCAAAAAATGTGGATAGTGTCCACATGTGGACACAGATGATGCCCCCACTTGCATATCATATAGTTATAAAGGGACATAACTGAAGAACGGCAAAAGTGATGCTACCCAAATTTGAACTTGATCTGAGTTTTGTGGTAATAAGCATTGTGTGTAAGTCTCATAACATTTGGTTGAGGCTAACTAAGTAGAGAACGGAAACGAAAAATTCAGCAATTTTTATGTTTATAAAGGGACATAACTCAAGAATGGTAAAGTGTCGCCACCAAATTTCGTACTTTATCTGTATTATGTAGTAATAAGCATTGTGTATAAGTTTCATAACATTTGGTTGAAGCAAACTAAAGTTAGAAAACGGAAACAAAAAATGTGTACTTGATCTTAGTTTTGTGGTAATGAATATTGTGTATAGGTTTCATAATGTTTGGTTGGGGCAAACTTAAGTTACAAAATTTTGCAATCTTTCGATTTATAAAGGGGCATAACTCAATAATGGTTAAAGTGACACTACCCAAATTCAACTTGATCTGTGTTTTATCAGTTGATGTCAAAATTAAACATTGCAATGTATAAAGCATTGATTGTAGTTGATTCAACTATAATCATGGACAAAGGAAGATAACTCCAATTTTAATAAAATGCTCCGCTGGGGCGCAGCTTGATACGACCGCAGAGGTCGAACCCTGAATAGTTGGGGCAAGTATGGACACAACATTCAAGCTTGATACAGCACTGAATTTGGATTTTAATTAATATTTGACACAGCATAGGTTTCTGACACAGAATGAAAGTGGTCTAAGAACTTAATTTTTTTTAATTTACCTATTTAAACCATATCATTATTATTTGCTTTTATATATAAATCAGAAATAACCAATTTTAAAATGGAAAATTTTAAAGAAAAAAAAAAGGAAAAAAAAATCCCCCCCCCCAAATTTTTTGAACCCCCTTATGATTCATTCATCCCCAAACTCAATCCCAGCCTTCCCTTTGTGGTATGGTACCTTGCAGTACAATTTCAGAGAGATCCATACACTTGAACACAAGTTATTGTCTGGAAACTAGAAAAATGCTTGTTTTTTGGCCCCTTTTTGGCCCCAAATTCCTAAACGTTTAGGGCAAATACCCCCAAACTCAAACCCAGCTTTCCCTTTGTGATATGGAACCTTGCAGTACAATTTCATAAAGATCCATACACTTACACACAAGTTATTGTCCTGAAACTAGAAAAATGCTTGTTTTTTTGCCCTTTTATGGCCCCTAATTACTAAAATTTTGAGGGAATTACCCCCAAAATCAATCCCAGCCTTCCCTTTGTGGTATGGTACCTTGCAGTACAATTTCAGAGAGATCCATACACTTGAACACAAGTTATTGTCTGGAAACTAGAAAAATGCTTATTTTTGGCCCCTCTTTGGCCCCTTTTTCCTAAAATTTTTGGGCAATTACCCCCAAACTCAATTCCAGCTTTCCCGTTGTGATATGGAACCTTGTAGTACAATTTCATAAAGATCCATACACTTACACACAAGTTATTGTCATGAAACTAGAAAAATGCTTGTTTTTTGCCCCTTTCGGCCCCCAATTACTAAAATTTTTAGGGAATTACCCCCAAAATCAATCCAAGCATTCCCTTTGTGATATGGAACCTTGTGATACAATGTCAGAGAGATCTATAGACTTATACACAAGTTATTGTCCTGAAACTAGAAAAATGCTTGTTTTTTGCCCCTTTTTTGCCCCTAATTCCTAAAATTTGGAGGCAATTACCCCCAAAATCAATGCCAGCATTCCCTTTGTGATATGGAACCTTGTGGTACAATGTCAGAGAGATCCATACACTTACACACAAGTTATGTCTGGAAGTTACAAAAATGCTTATTTTTGGCCCCTTTTTGGCTCCTAATTCCTTAACTGTTGGTACCATAACCCCCAAAATCAATCCCCACCTTCCTTTTGTGGTATTGAACCTTATGGTAAAATTTCATTGAGATCCATTCACTTAAACTAAAGTTAGAGTGCGAAAACTAATGCGTCTTCGGACGACGACGCCAACGTCATACCAATATACGACCACAAAATTTTTTTTGCGGTCATATAAAAATTACTTGATATTTAAAAGAAAATAAAAATTTTGCAATTTTTCCATTTATAAAGGGACATAACTCTTGAACAGTTAAAGTGACGCCACCAAAATTCAAACTAGATCTGTGTTTTGTGGTAATAAGCATTGTGTATACATTTCATAACATTTGGTTGAGGTAAACTTAAGTTAGAGAACAAAAACTAAAAATTTTGCAATTTTTCCATTTATAAAGGGGCATAGCTCTAGAACGGTTAAAGTGACGCCACCAAAATTCAAACTTGATCTGTGTTTAGTGGTAATAAGCATTGTGTATAAGTTTCATAACATTTGGTTGAGGCATACTCAAGTTAGAGAACGGAAACCAATTTTGGGACGTACATACGTACGTACAGATGGACAAGGGTAAACTTAATGCCCCCACCACTATGGCGGGGGCATAAAAATGTAATCCATTCAGTTTTCTTCAAAAAGCACTGTAGGATTTGAAATAAGCACCATTTTCTAAAATCATAGCACCACATGTATGTAACATTCTATTATAAAACCTATTCAGATAGCACCATGGTACTATGAATCAATGGAGAGAAAAAGCCATTTGGTGAGTGTAACAAACTCATGTGTAGATGAATTCCATGAGCAACAAAATGGCACCCACAAAGCAATATTTAAAAGCAATCAATACAACACATCTATGCGCAGAATTTAAATGATTTTCAGATTCTTTTTTTTAATTCAGTTACAACTTGGTGCAATTTTAAAAATAGTTTCTGTATAGGACTCTTGCTCGTCATGACTTAAAATGGTTAAATTAAGGTTAGTGTTGGTGAAGGTAATTCATGTTAGTAGCCTCTTTTTTTTTATACAATTATATGTGCATACTCAAAGTACTCAAAAAAATAATCAAACAAATATTACTGATGTTCTTGCTATGGATTTATAATTAACTAATTAATTAATTACAAAGTTTAGCAGTGGACTTCTTACAATAAAAAAAATAGTCCAGAGTTTTTTTATTCATTGTGTACAATGAAGCAAGAGGCCATCCTGGACTGTGAAGGTATTTTATTGTGTGATTTTTTTACTTTTACAATATATGATATAGGTAGGCAAAAGGTGGGGGATGACTGTGTTTTTTTCAGAGGAGTTGGGTGTTGCTGGTTGGTATGATATGTTGTACTGTCCAATATTTTGGTGATTCCAGTTATACTTTTTAATTATTCCCATTTTCTAAAATTTTGCTTTGATTTTTTTTTTTTGTAATAAATTTTCATATCCGGCTACTAGAGTGATATTGGTTTTTCTCAGTTGAGAAAAAAGAAAATGTATTATGAACCTTTGTCATTGAAGTTGCCTAGATAAACAGCGATAAACAGGTTATCAATTGTCTATCAAACTCGAAGATGTTTCTCTGCTACATCTCATCTCAGGGCTGTTGCTGGATACACCATCTCGTTTTGAAAACCATTGATAATCTATAAGAATTAGACAAATTTTGACATGTGTTTTAGGGTACATGATTATATGCACAAGCTATTAAATTAGATATAATTGTGCCTATGAAACTTGGTGATGATTGAAAAATAAATTCTACGTGACATAATTTCTGGTTAAATAAATAAGTAACAAGTCCAAGGCTTATATCATTTTATTCATATGAACCAAAACTTAACATTTATCAGGTATACAAAAACAGACAGACAATTTATATCTAATAATTATGTATTAAATTAACAATAATAATAATCAACACTTAAACAGACAGTGTTCCAGCTTGAATCTCAGGGCAGAAGGGTGCTAGTTGTTTGAAAGGGCACTTTAGCGCAATAGCCCAGATTGTAAGGGCACTGTTGGACAGTGTATAAATTATCTTGCATATTGCTAGGCTCAGCATGAGAACATTAGTTGTATTTCAAGCATATTGAGAAATTAATGTGTTCCTGATGTTGGTTCCAGTGAGATTTTTTTTTATCAAATTATCATACCATGATGCAAAGCATATCATTTTGATGTTAATCTAAACAAAGTTGTACACTTGGTTAAGGAAAATAATCATCAGAAAATTCAATGTTTTATAACTTAAACCAGTCTATAAAAATAAACAAGTAGTTCATGAAATTTGGAAATTTTATTTTTTGAAAAGGCAGAGGGGTGCATTCTTTTGCTCTGGGGGGCAGAAGGGCAGGGGTACGGGCACCAAGGGCGGGCCGCCCTTCTATTTAGGGCAGGCGGGAACACTGTCAGATAACAGCATTTATCAATAAAGCTAAATCCATAAAGCAGTTTCTGGGATTATAACTTCAACCATACATATATATATAATGATAAGTATATAATGTAAATTTAAATCAGTTGTACAAAATTGATTCCAATTTTTTTTTAGATGTCTGCACCAAAAAGTGTTAAGGATCACATTAAGATGTACCTGGTAAATTACAATGTATCAGTGCATCAGTACTAATCCATTGAGTAGTTCCTGATCCTTTGATGCACAATTTCTGTTCCTATTTTGTAGATATTTTACAGAGCCAGTCCTTCGAGTATGATGATGCCATTCTTTATATGTTTCTAGTCTATCAACAATTCATTCCTTTATTTATTTTTTAAAACACAATTGTTTATTATGACAATCCATCGAAAAGTACAAGTTAAGTTCATTTCAATTTGAGGTAGTTTTTTATTTAAATTTCACATATTCTATGAAAATAATTTTAAACAACAGGTTTAGGATGAAGTGTTAAGAGACACTAGTCATCCCATCTTGCATACTGTTAAACAGGAAGTGGCTGTATTGCCGACTTGAAAATAATGTATACAATAAAAGTTCTATTGAAAATTTAATTAAAACCTTTTTGTAGGTATGATTTAAACTAACAATTGAAAAGAAAAACAAATTAATAAATATATTGTACTTACAGAAATATTTTTTATTATGCATAATTTATTTTTGTACATAATTTATGATTTTGCATTTTAACAGATAGTTCTGATTTTAGCAGAATTCTTCAATCATGTAGATGTCAATGCCACCTTTTTATATATAAGTTTTAGGCTAAACTTCTTATCAAAAATAAAATAATTTAAAAAACTATATAAGAAAAAAACTGTCAAAATAATTGGAAAACAAATAATAACTAGAGTTGACCTCAACTTGAGATTTGGATCAGATCTTTAATTAATAAATGGAAAATATAATAGAAAATGAATAAAAAGGCTTACAAAAATTATGCAATTCAAAATCAGCTGTTTCATATTATGACAGGAAATTGACACAAAGATGATCTTTTTTAAATTCTATAAAAAATTGCAGGACAAATTTATTATTTAAACCCTCTATGTATATCATGATCATTTCTTTCAATCAGTATCTACACGTACAAATAAGAAACTTCTGAATATTAATATTGAAATACAGAACTAGAGGCTCTAAAGAGCCTGTGTCGCTCACCTTGGTCTATGAGCATATTAAACAAAGGACACACATTATAGACAAGAATAGAATTCATGACAAAATTCTCTGTTTTGGTGATGGCGACTTGTTTGTAGATCTTACTTTACTGAACATTCTTGCTGTTTACCATTATCTCTATCTATAATGAACTTGGCCCATTAGTTTCAGAGGAAAAGATTTTTGTAAAAATTTACAAAAATTTACGAAAAATTGTGAAAAATTAACTTTAAAGAGCAATAACTCTGGAAGGGGTCAATTGACAATTTTTGATCATTTGACTTATTTGTAGAGCTTACTTTGCTGAACAATTTTGCTGTTTACAGTTTATCTCTATCTATTATATTCAAGATAATAACCAAAAACTGCAAAATTTCCTTAAAATTACCAATTCAGGGGCAGCAACCCAACAACGGGTTGTCTGATGCGTCTGAAAATTTGCAGCAGATAGATCTTGACCTGATGAACATTTTTACCCCATGTCAGATTTGCTCTAAATGCTTTAGTTTCAGAGATATCAGCCAAAAACTGCATTTTACCCCCATGTTCTATTTTTAGCCATGGCAGCCATCTGATACATTTTTTAAACTAGATACCCTAAGGATGATTTAGGTCAAGTTTGGTTTAATTTGGCCCAGTAGTTTCAGAGGAGGAGATTTTTGTAAAGATTACAAAAAATTATGAAAAAATTGTGAAAAATTTTCTTTAAAGGGCAATAACTCTTTATGGGGTCAATTGACAATTTTGGTCATGTTGACTAATTTGTAGATCTTACTTTGCTGAACAATTTTGTTGTTTACAGTTTATCTCTATCTATTATAATATTCAAGATAATAACCAAAAACTGCAAAATTTCCTTAAAATTACCAATTCAGGGGCAGCAACCCAACAACGGGTTGTCTGATGCGACTGAAAATTTCAGGGTAATAGATCTTGACCTGATGAACATTTTTACCCCGTCAGATTTGCTCTAAATCTTTAGTTTCAGAGATATCAGCCAAAAACTGCATTTTACCCCCATGTTCTATTTTTAGCCATGACGGCCATCATGGCTGAATGCCGGGTCATCGGATATATTTTTTAAACTAGATATCCTAAGGATGATTTAGCCCAAGTTTGGTTTTATTTGGCCCAGTAGTTTCAGAGGAGAAGATTTTTGTAAAAGTTAACGGACGACGATGACGGACGCCAAGTGATGAGAAAAGCTCATTTGGCCCTTTTGGGCCAGGTGAGCTAAAAATATAAAACTGGAAATGTTTTGAAAAGTAGCAAATTGCATACTTTCAAAAGAAAGCAAGCTAACAAAGAGGCCGACATGAATAGTACAATACATTGATATAATTTTTATGTCAGCAGAATTTACAAAACATCCCCTTTGGTATCTTTCCCAGCATGCTTTATACCTGGTTCTGGAAGGAAGAAATACAAACTATGACACTCTTGTTTGTAGGTTGTATTTCTCTGGTTGCAGGAAATATGTTATAATACACTGTACAATATCTTCTAATTCATGCTGAGTTGACTGCTTGTCCAACCTGTAAACATATCATATTTATCATATTTATCAGTACAGGTAGCTTTAGTACTGATTGTTACTAGTTCTAAAATAAAACATAAGCCATGTAACATAAGAATAATTTCTTATAAAAGTCTTTTATTAGTTAAGAAAACATAAAGAGGAGCTGATAGCAATACTTCTGTAAATGACAGTAACTACCTTGATATATTTCGGTAATATGTGAGGTCTTTTGATACATTTTTTTTTATTATTACAATAACTAAAAAGATGAAGGTTACCAATAAAAGCATTGATACTTCCAAACATTGATTATTTCCTAGTAAATCGTGAGATTTTTTCACTCAAGTACATTCAAATCTTAGTAAATTTTTCCACTATAATCTAAATAAGCATTGATGATTGTTATGGCATCCAGACACAGTGAACAACATTTAATATAAAATATGGGACACAATTTACTTTGTCAAAGGTAACACAAAGAAATCATCATAGATTTTTTGGTTTTGTCCTATCAGTTATGTAACTATTAAATCTGTGACTGTCCTTTTACATGGTTCATTATCAAAATCCTGCTTTGATTCAAAAATAATATGTCAAAAAGACCATTGTTTGGATGTACAAACAAATGCTTTAAAATAACACTTTTAACTAATGATAAATGCACATTTCTATGATACTATTACACAAACTACCACTTTAAGGGCATTTTCCATGTTCAACCCTGAATTTCCCAAGATTTAAATGACAGTCCCTCTTTTTACAAGGTGCTTAAAAAATGTTTCATCACATCCCTCGCCCTGTAGAAAATTTAATGATCATTTTTGGTCTGAGGATGGCTACAACCCTTCCTCATTCTAATATTTACCCTTTCTTTAGGTTAAATAGATATAAGATGTGGTATGAGTGCCAATGAGACAACTCTCCATCGAAGTCAAAATTTATAAAAGTAAACCATTATAGGTCAAAGTATGGTCTTCAACAAGGAGCCTTGGCTCACACCGAACAGCAAGCTATAAAGGGCCACAAAAATTACTAGTGTAAAACCATTCAAACAGGAAAACCAACGGTCTAATCTATATAAAAAACGAAAAACGAGAAACACTTATGAACCACATCAACAAACGACAACTACTGAACATCAGAGTCCTGACTTAGGACAGGTGCAAACAATTGCAGCGGGTATAAAAGTTTTAATGGTACCAAACCTTCACCCTTATCTGACACAATAGTGTAACATCACAACATAGAAAGACACACTATAAAATATCAATTAAAATGGCTTAACTCAATCAAAAGACATATTAACACCAGTGAACATAAACTGAACAAATAAATTTTATCTATGATACAATGTAAATACAAAATAAATAAACTAAGCAGCCCTCAATTTAGTCTACTGAAATGGTCGCCTGGGCGACTTTAAAAGCTGATTGGCGACCAAAAATTCATAACTGGTCGCCATTTAGGCTATTAGAATATTGAAAATCTGGCGACCGTAAATTTTCGGAAAGTTTGCCCTGATCAGAGTCAGGTTTTAAAAAATCGTCTGAACGCTTGACAGTAACACAAATATTTACTGTATTTCAAGCACTTTTTAGATTTAAGCTTGATCTTGTCAGTGCTTTATTGCATCAGGTACTTGTAGTTCATTTGTAAGCAATTTGTTGTCGTTGACTTACTGACAGGATTTATATATATCTATCTTCGTATTTCCGCACTCAGTCATAACTTGGACTATTACGTGCCATGAAAGAGAAAACCATGGTCATTTAAAGATTGTGTTTATTGAAAGCACATGGTCGAGCCTCGTTCTTGATTTCGTCAGTAAACGAATGGAAACAAGGTCGGGACAATTTTGTAGTCTCAGCTTGTTCTCATAGATTCCATAAAATACTGGCTACAATTTAGCAAACAATTTCAGATGTTCACTTGACCGATCGGGCAATCACCAGTGCTTCTGCACAAATACGATGAGATTTTTACTATACTTGGGCTTTGGGCTACCGCTTAACGTCGCAGACTGTTTTAAAACATGTACAATGTCAATGAATATAATATCAAATAAATCATGTATTTTTTAACAGTTGATTTACACAAACTATTTTCTACACTCGTCGGCATAAAAACGCAACAAAATACTTTTATTTCACAAGGGTTGTTTAGCTATAAAAAAAATGTAGGCGACCTGAAATTATTTCCTGGCCACTGAAATTTTGAGTTGGCCATTAAATTTTCATGTCTGGTGGCCAATTGGCAACCTCATTTCAGAGTCTACTTTGAGGGCTGCTAAGTGAAGAATAATTAAAGTAACATGTTATACCGCTGTGAAATGTTAAACAATTTAAGAAAAACAATATGCTTGAACAAAAATATCAGCCATTTGCAATTACTTTAAACACAGATAAATGAAAATAATATTGTTGTATGTTTTATGAAATCTTTAAGCTTCGTTTGAGTGTCATTTGCCCTCTTATAAATATGCACCCCTTCTAAACTAATAGTTCCTTACATTCTGGGTTGTAGGTATAAATTCGATCAATCACTATTATATAAATCAAGGGTTTAGTTCACAATGAATATACATTATTCCAAGTCAATGAAAAAGTCTTCTACTATTCTTAGGGAACCTTAATCCTTGATTTATCCTACTTGTTCTTCGGTTTCATATAAAACTAACCAACATCTCTATAAAGACCACCTACCCTTTCTGTGGATCTGGTTTATGTTCAGTATAATATTTGATCTTTGGTTCCGTTCCACTCGTCCTAAGTGTAGCAACACAACCGTTCTCAAATGTAAATGTAACCATCTGACTTGACTTACTGACAGGTAAAGTCTGAAATATTTTCATTAAAATACATGCTAAAGTTCTATTAATTTTTTTTAATTATTTCAGGGAATAATTGTATGGGGTTTGACATAAAATAAATATATAGATAAGAATTTTTGTATTGAAGGAATACATTTTATGAAATACTATGAAAAAGCCATCTTCATAACTTTAGACGATCCTGCAAAGTTTAAAAAGTATAACAAACATAAAACATCGTGTATTTGCATGTATATTTATAATAACACAGTTTAATAAATAATTTCTTTAAAATGTACAATTATTATTTAGAAATAACTTTTGATCAGTATTGTCACCGGTATTGTTTTATTATTGACTTTCTCGATTCTATCATAAGAAGAGTGAATTTTCTTTTGTTTTCGTTCACTGGATATCCCACTGTATAATAGACCATTGTATACATGAAACATCAACCAAGGCCAAAATTAAAATGTTTGATTACTGTACAGGACAAACCATTTAAAAATGTTGCCACTAAGATTTTTTTAATGGTATTTCATTGGGAGCTCCTTAGTTTGAATTACAGAAAATAGAAGTTCAAAGTTTGTTCCAGACTCAACATTTTACAAATTGAATTTGTTTATGATATTCACAGTGTGATCCCATCTCTTTTGTCTCATCCACTGTAACATGCAAACAGGCCATCTTATTGCTACACTAACAAGTTTACTGTTACACAAGAGTACATCAAAGGATTCTAATTTCCATCGAATTAAATTTGTTCCTTCGTTTAACAGTGATTAAATGATCCATAAGGTAGATAACTATGTACTTACTGGTATATTGTCTGGTTTACTGTTATCAATTCCAACTGTAAGGTCTCTTACATATTTAATTTTATATGGACCACAGGTATCAGGGTGCTGTAAAGACAAAGATATGACTGATAATTTTAACAGTAGCAATTCTGAACTAAAATTCTAAGCTTCATCATATTCCAGATCCTGAACATTATAACTGACACCATTACATGATTGATTGATTGATTGATTGTTGGTGTTTAACGCCACTTTCAGCACTATTGGCTATTTCATGGTGGTCAGATTTATTGGTGAAGGAGGCCAGAGTGCCCACAGAGAACCTTGACTTTCGGCAGGAAGACTGACAATCCCTGTGAATTAACATTGAAGTAGAATGCATCTGCCTTCTGAAGGGTTCAAACTCACAACCTCAGTGTTGACAGGTTAGTGATACAGTAGATGAACTACTTAGACCACTCGGCCAGAGGTCCTGACACTATCACATCATGTAGTGTATCTGAGTTCATATGGGTGAATTCAATTGGAAAATTTCGAAACTCTTAATTTGATAAACTTTCATTGCAGCATTCAAAATGTCTGTTTTTTTTCAAATGTGTTTTTTGTGAGTAATTAAAAAGCTATAGAAATAGAAATAAGATTTCTACAAGCCACCCCTTTGATTATGATATTTATCTACTCGAAAAAGTTAAATATTTAAATGCAAGATTTACATAGCATTTTAAAGATTAACAATTTAACTATCAAGACTGGATTAATATTGTAGTCAATAGAAAATGCCGAATTCTATGTTCTAAATTGATTTGGCAGAAAATGACGCAAGAAAAATTTATTCTACATGTGGTTTATCAAAATTTGTCCGAACTGGTCAGAACTGGTTTAAATGCATACAGAATAAGAAGCTGAAATACTGGTAGATGACTTTTTTGCATGAAGTTGAATATAAATTCTCCAGTGGAGATAATGAAATTTTAAAAAGGGTAAACGTCATAGAGGCAGCTACTCACATAATCAGAATAAGTACTATAAAGTGTGGAGAAATGCTGCATTCCTAGCAATACAGTAGTGTCGACTGGATTTACTGCATGATGCAAAATGTTAGAGCTTGAACTGCAAAGCACAGAACTGGTACCAAAGGTTTTAAGTGTGATGAGTGTTACTTCCACTTTTCTGTTTTATTATTTATATCTTGTTTTGTTTTAATGCAAGAGGTACATAAAAGGTCAATCTGTTGATTTTAATACCATTGTGCACGAAACTAGTGTATGTAGAACATCTGAATACAAAAAGCTTTTAAAGATTAATATGGTTCAGTGTCCAAAATAAATATATTCATAACATTCTAGCTGAGCATTATTATACACTTACCTTTCCAGTTCCATTAAAATTTCTCAGATCATCAAACAATTTTTTAATAACATCTTTATCATGGCAGATAAAGTAGGAATTCAAACTAATATGGTAGCCATACCTACAACAGAATATTACAGATAAAGTAGGAATTCAAACTAATATGGTAGCCATACCTGCAACAGAATATTACAGATAAAGTAGGAATTCAAACTAATATGGTAGCCATACCTGCAACAGAATATTACAGATAAAGTAGGAATTCAAACTAATATGGTAGCCATACCTGCAACAGAATATTACAAATAGTTGATTGATTAATTGATGCCAATTTTAGCACTTTATCATGGATGCCAGGTTTATTTGTGGAGGAAGCAAAAGTACACAGTCAGCCAAAAATGGTATAAGTCCTTTAACTCAAAAATTTTCAAATGAAAACATTGATATATAGTATAAATAACTACAAATGATGGCAAGCAAGCCTAAAAAACTTTCAGGCAAGTGGTTACAGAGGATTAGAGTATGTTATGGATGGACAGATGAAGCCTATTACTGCAATTTCTGAATCCGGTCAGTACAGAACAATAAGACATTGATTAGCAGGTGTGTGCTTCCTCCAAAAAAGTTTGAACAGAGAGTAAAGATATCAGAGCTGAGATTAATTGAAATAACTGCTCCGTTTCTTGTTTTGTACAAATGCATTTTCTAATAAAACATTGTATGTAATATTCATTTAGATTTTAAAATGATTTTATGGCATAAATTCCACGATTGATGGTCTGAAATTGCCAGCACAAGCATAGACATCCCGAAACTGATTTTAAATATATGATTTTGAGTGGTGTTTCCTTTCAGTTGAATTAGAATAGATATAACATTATTGATTTGAAGTTTTGTTGGCACCAATTTTTGATTTGATGGTTACAAAAACTAAATTTTTAACCACCAAAAGAATTGTTTTTTTTTCATTACTCAGTAAAAGGTGTTTTTTTTAGGGAATCAGACATTCTTCACAAAGTTAGACTCCAATCTATGATATAAATTTGCTACAATGTATAAGTATAACAGAACATTCACTTACTTTTGGTAAATATTTTCTAGTTGTTTGTAAAGTGTTAGACCTTGGTCATACAGATAAGTTGCCATCTCTGCTGTTACCATGGATGCACTGACTCCATCCTTGTCTAGCACACTAGAACCACACATAAATCCTGTGATACAAAAAAACCAGGCATATGTCATGGATTAAGTTCATTGTTGAAGGCCGTAAACTTACAGTAATCCCTGCTCCTTTCTAGACAAACGATTATATTATAACAACTACTGTAAATGCAGAAATTATTGCGATGTTTTTATTATTGCGAAAAATGCGACAGGGTTATAATCGCAATAATTTGAACTCGCATTTTGAAACTTTTTATATGAATTAAACATGATTTTTCTCAATATCGCAAAAATTAAAATCGCATTTTAGTCTAAAATGAGAAAATCGCAATAATAAATTCACGCAATAATTTCTGAATTTACAGTAATAACATTTCAGTGGATATTTCAAGCACCTGATTTCTTATCAAAAGCAAATATCCTGAAGTCAAATTTAATTTTTAACGTCACTGTAATATTATCATTTAACATTTGGTATGATATTATTAGGTCTCACCAAAGTATCAGCAACAACTCATTACTGTTGATCTGCTGACCAAATATGAAGTCATTCTGTTAAGTAGTTTCTGAGAAAATTCTGACGAAAATATCTGCTGGAAAAAAGGGCAGATGAATGGACAATGGGATTGCAATAAAGCTCTCACTCCGAGAGTGGGGGTATAATCAATATAAATCAAACAATCTTACCTATAGCCTCCTCAAAGGCAAACAGGACTGTTTTTCCTGCCTTTAGATATTCATCTGCTTTGTTACCCATCCATTTAAATCCAGTCAAGGTTTCCTATCAAAATACAGATAAATTCTAATTGTATACACAGGAAATATCAGCATAAAATTCAGAAAAAGACAATCTGATGGACAGCAACATTGCTTAATTATTAATTCAGTCGCTGGACAATTATCTAGTGGGCAGGACCTGAAAATGGTTGACAAACTGAGATGTACAGACAGTAATGTAACTTTATAGAAAATATTGTTGTCTATTGTAAGTATTTCCTATCAATATAACTTAAGCAGAAAACTTAACATTGAAAATTGCTAATTAATACGAAGTCACTGGACCATGACCTAGGGGACAGGGCCTCAAAATAGTCATCATACTGATATGAAATGATAGTAATGCAACTACATACAAAATATCATTGATCTATCACAAGGAGATCCTATCAAACTAACTTAAGCAGAAAACTTAACATTGAAAATTGCTAATTAATTCATACGCAGTCACTGGAGCATTTCCTAGGGGAAGGGCCTCAAAATAGTCGTCAAACTGATATGTACTGATAGTTATGCAACTTTATATTAAATATCAATGATCTATCACAGGTAGTTCCTATCAAACTAACTTAAGCAGAAAACTTAACAATTGTTGACCCTGTTGTCGCCGTCGCAGCAATCCCTTTGTCTTGCTTTCTGCGACTTTCGACAATAATCATACTCAACTAGAAGATAGTGATGGGAGAAATCACATAGGAACTGTTTTAGTAAGCATGTAAATTGTCATACAAATTTGAAGTAATTAACATGGCTTATACCCACAGAAGGCAAAACTTTTTACTGATGAACCACTACTTCATCTCTGGGCTGATATTTTTTCTTTGTGTGGTAATTTACACCCACACCCTCAATTAAAGACAGTACAATACCCATCCCTTTCAAAATGTTTGTCATAATCATCAATATGACTTTGAAGAGAAAATCAGTTTAAGGTAACGTATGTTCTTAGTTCAATTACATGTATACAGAGGCTTTTTGGTTTTATTAATATTCATTCAATAGTAAAAAATACATAAAGTACCTCAAAATTAAATCCTTCATTTCTGGCTATTGTCTGTAATATCTTTGACGATACTGTACTTGCTAACATATATATGTCAGATGCTAAAACATATTATAGTGGTATGTAAATAAAAGCATGTGTTGGGTATATGTCAGTTAGACAGCTATCAATACTGTCTACATGTACTGTAAATTCAGAAATTACTGCGATGTTTTTATTATAAATGCAAAAAAAATACAGCAATATCCGGGTTACAATAATAAAAACTAGCATTTACAATGATTTTCATTCATAAACATTTTTCAATCGCATTAATTAGATTTCACATTTTTGCCAGTGGTCAAGGATCCCCAATAATAAATGCATGCATTAATTTCTGAATTTACAGTATATTATAAATAACTCTGTCAATATAATCCATTCTGTTGCAAGGCTGGAAAGTTTTGGTGATAATATTATAATTGCTTCAAATAACCAAATCCTCATAGCAAGAAGCAAACTTTCTTAAAGGAATGTCCATCCTTTCAATACTAAATGTCATTTAGGTTCATACTAGCAGTTGGTGAGATTTTAACATGATATTTCAACACCAAAATATATAACCTTGAGTTTTAAACTCTATTAAAGACAGGTCATCATGCATATTTGAGTTATTCTGATCATTATTAAATGCAGAAAATTGTCATGTTGATGATGGTTCAGGGGTTCAAATTAGCGGTGGTCCGAGGTCCGCGACCTTCCATTTTTGCAGTCGGACTCTCGTTTTGGTTACAAGCTACGCCTGACAGACCGTCGGTTTGAAAGAAAATAAAAACAAACTTTGCCGACCTTTTTAAACAAAAATTTCCAAACAATCTCAAAATTTATTTTCATCATTATTATTGATGACAGCGATGTTCATTTTGTTCAACCGTTAGCTTAATACCGAAAATTGCCAACTAGTAATGTGTAAATTCGAGTAAAATCGTATCTGACTGACAAAACAGCATTGAAAAACATTGGATGCGATAAATCGGAAATGAAGAAAATAACAAACTAGAGGCTCTAAAGAGCCTGTGTCGCTCACCTTGGTCTATGTGCATATTAAACAAAGGACACAGATGGATTCATGACAAAATTGTGTTTTGGTGATGATGATGTGTTTGTAGATCTTACTTTACTGAACATTCTTGCTCCTTACTATTATCTCTATCTATAATGAACTTGGCCCGGTAGTTACAGTGGAAAATACTTTGTAAAAATTTACAAAAATTTACAAAATTTATGAAAATTGTAAAAAATTGACTATAAAGGGCAATAACTCCTTAAGGGGTCAATTGACAATTTTGGTCATGTTGCCTTATTTGTAGATCTAACTTTGCTGTACATTATTGCTGTTAACAGTTTATCTCTATCTATAACAATATTCAAGATAATAACCAAAAGCTGCAAAATTTTCTTAAAATTACCAATTCAGGGGCAGCAACCCAACAACGGGTTGTCCGATTCATCCGAAAATTTCAGGGCAGATAGATCTTGACCCAAAAACAATTTTACCTAGTCAAATTTGCTCTAAATGCTTTGGTTTCAGAGATATAAGCCAAAATCTACATTTTACCCCTATGTTCTATTTTTAGCCATGGCGGCCATCTTGGTTGGTTGGCCGGGTCACCGGACACATTTTTTAAACTAGATACCCCAATGATGATTGTGGCCAAGTTTGATCAAATTTGGCCTAGTAGTTTCAGAGGAGAAGATTTTTGTAAAAGTTTACGGACGACGGACGACGGACGCCAAGTGATGAGAAAAGCTCACTTGACCTTTCAGGTCAGGTGAGCTAAAAACGGATCCGATTCCGGAGCGGATAAGGGTAATTCAGGGTTTGCCGATCAAATACAATGAAAAAATAATAATTCCAGGCAGTTGACAAAATACATCTATGATGATAAAATATAAACACTAGAATTGAAAAGAAAGAAAAAGTAGGAAATATTTTTTTACAGAAACTCAAGATTACTTTTAGTTCATAAATTTTCATCTCAAAATCCAAAAAAATGTGACAGTAAATTTCTTTATCATTAATAAATATTGATATTTCATGTAGAATTTTGTATAGTGTAAACGTATTACTACAATTCCAAGAGGTAATGTCTTCTCAATTTTAAAGGACCAGTACAAATCTGGAAGTTTCTTACCTTATTTTCACAGAGGAACTAATGCATTATAATAGTGCAACTAGATATGATACATGTATATATGTCTCTGCTTAAACAGCTTTGAATTTGAACTGTTTTATAAAATGGTATAAGAAGAAATAAATTACCAATAGTTGAGACAACACACCCACCCATGGTGACACCCTCCTCAATAACAAAAAAAAAAAATTATCTGAATTTATAATATACAAGACAATTACAATTGTTATTAAATATTTTATACAACAGTGACTTTGACAATGAAACAAGTTGACCTAACACCAACAGCACATTAATTTTGTTACTTGTATCTTACTATGTTAGGAAATATTTCAAGTAAAAGTAGGACCTGGAATTTAGGTTGTGGACCTTTCAGTTTGGAGTACCAAATGTTAATTTGAACCCCTGTGGTTACTATGGAACTGAAGTTATATGTAATTTGTTTAATAAAATAGCAGTTACTTTGTATCTTACGTATGTACGGACGGACGTACAGAGGGACAAGGGTAAAACTTAATGCCCCCTCCACTACGGCGGGGGCATAATAAAAAAATAAAGCTACAATAATCAAAATTTAACTGAATTAAATCGTGAATCACATGTAATTTGCAATCTGATTGACATATATTTATTGTTTATATAACATGCACATGCGTAGTAATTCAGTCCTGTTCAGCGCTGAAAAGTGGTCACATGGATTGAATTACTCCTGGTCTTAAAGAGGTGACGAGGAGGTTGGGCCAGGATACCAGACTTAGCACCAACATCCTTACAATGTATCTTTAATACCTGGAACATCTGGATTCTTTTGTCTAAAGGAAAGCCAACTCCACCATCCTAGCAATGCTCCAATTTCATTTCCAGAGAAAATATGCCATGTACCACTGGAAATTTTCAATAAAATATTTTAATGTACCGTTAATTTTTTTTTAATTTCAATTGTTAAAAGACAAATAAAAAAAAAAAATCTAAAAGTCTAGAACACTGTGCTGTTCTCAATTGTCTGTTGCTTTCTTCCTGGGAGTTTGGTTTGAGTGGTTGTGGTGTCCAACACATTTTGTAATTCCTTTTGTCTTTCCTGAATGCAGTGTAGACAACTGTCGACACAAATATTTTTAAATTATAATTAAAATGTTTCAACTATCTCAAACTAAATTATAACTAGAAAACTGACAAGTCAGCAAGGGCCTATTAGGCACATTTTTGTGTAAGAAACAGAAACAAATAATCAATAAGCAAATCAAGGTCATGAGGTATGAATATTCTTAAAATTTAGATCAATTCAGCAGCATTTCTCTATAGATATAAAGTCTTGTTAAAATCCAAGCACTATGTATTTTAGACTAAAACTTCAATATAGTAGCAATAAAAGCAGTAAGCCTGTACCTGATTTAAATTCAATTATATTGATCATTACAAAGCTAAATCATGTTTTTGATTCTGATCGAAATTTCCTATTTTGAACCCAAGTTCAGTTTGCCTAAATGAATCATTTGAATAAGACATATTATGGGACAATGAATGCTAAAATACAATCACCCTGATAAAATAATTCATGTTAAGAGGAAATGTGTCTTGAATATTCATTTACCCGTCTAGTTTTTCAGCAACAGCAAGTCTGTCAGCATCAGGGTCATTGGCTAATATCACACTACTATTGTTAGCATTGGCTGTGTCTATTGCCAGTGACTAAAAATTATTAAAAATACTATCTTAAACTACATTTCTTGCAAAGGCAGTCTATGTTAAATGATGGAAAGGTGTAAATAAATTTACTGTGTAAGTGTGAATATTTTTTAATGGCAAGTGTTAGTCATTTAATATGTTTTCATGTATGAGTCAGTCAAGATTTTCTGTTATTCCACCATTTTCTGAATTTGCTGTCATTTCATAACTATGTAAAGCAGGAAACGGAATATCTTAAAACAAGAACTGTGTTTTTTTATAAATATATATACATGTAGACTAAACATTTAATATTTAAATTTTAAAATATATATTGATTTTAGAGCCAATTTCTCCCCATATATACTTTCTCCTCTATAACTTAGCTTGTACTGAAGTCTTAATTGGAGGTTAACTTACTAAAGCTCCTTCTCCTTCTTCTGGGTTTGGATATCGTACTGTGGGAAATTCTGGATCTGGCATGATCTATTGAATGTAAATATAATTATTTTTACAAGCTTCAATATAGTGTAATAGTACTAAATACATCAGGAGAGTATATAACTCCATGCAGACTTCATGAAACTGTAGTGAGGTGTCGTTTTGTTCCAAGTTGTGTGACTGTTATGTCATATCCATGTTGTGTGACTAAAATGTCATAACTAAAGGGAGTTTATATCAAGAGAATATGTTCTCTTTACATGGTAACATGGTAGCATGTGAACAATGTTTTTAAATATATGTACAGTCAACTCTTATTGTCTTGAATTCTGTTTAATAACAAAAATATTGCACGAGTCTAAATACTTCTGCGGTCTCAATGATGAAATTTTATCACTATCCTGTCGAGATAACATATACACTAACCTGTTCTACCACAGGGACAGGTTCTCTAACGCCAAAAACTTTACAGACCTCTATAACATAATGATATCCTACACCGTGCATGGCAGTGTATGTGAATGTATGTACTAACCTGTTCTACCACAGGGACAGGTTCTCTAACGCCAAAAACTTTACAGACCTCTATAACATAATGATATCCTACACCGTGCATGGCAGTGTATGTGATTGTATGTACTAACCTGTTCTACCACAGGGACAGGTTCTCTAACACCAAACACTTTACAGGCCTCTATAACATAAGGGTATCCTACACCGTGCATGGCAGTGTATGTGAATGTATGTACTAACCTGTTCTACCACAGGGACAGGTTCTCTAACACCAAACACTTTACAGGCCTCTATAACATAAGGGTATCCTACACCGTGCATGGCAGTGTATGTGAATGTATGTACTAACCTGTTCTACCACAGGGACAGGTTCTCTAACACCAAACACTTTACAGGCCTCTATAACATAAGGATATCCAACACCATGCATGGCAGTGTATGTAAATGTTACAGATGACTTACAATTCTTCTCTCTACAATATACAAGAGTGCACACACTGAAATGTCTCGCCTTCTTTACTAATCATTGACATTATGTTGATAGTCCTAAATATAAAGCTTTATTACAACTGTCACATAAACTTAACATTAACCAAGTAAACTAAACATTGACCAATGAACCATGAAAATGAGGTCAAGGTCAGATGAACCATGCTAGGCAGGCATGTACAGCTAACAATTCTTCCATACAACAAATATAGTTGACCTATTGCTTATAGTTTAAGAAAAACAGACCAAAACACAAAAACTTAACACTGAGCAATGAACCTTGAAAATGAGGTCAAGGTCAAATAAAACCTGCGTGACTGACATATAGATCATAAAATATTTCCATACACCAAATATTGTTGAACTATTGCATATAGTATTATAAAAAAAGACCAAAACTCAAAAACTTAACTTTGACCACTGACCACTGAACCATGAAAATGAGGTCAATGTCAGATGAAACCTGCCCGCTAGACATGTACACCTTACAATCATTCCATACACCAAATATAGTAGACCTATTGCATACAGTATAAGAAAAACAGACCAAAACACAAAAACTTTACTATAACCACTGAACCATGAAAATGAGGTCAAGGTCAGATGACACCTGCCAGTTGGACATGTACACCTTACAGTCCTTCCATACACCAAATATACTAGACCTATTGCTTATAGTATCTGAGATATGGACTTGACCACCAAAACTTAACCTTGTTCACTGATTCATGAAATGAGGTCGAGGTCAAGTGAAAACTGTCTGACGGAAATGAGGATCTTGCAAGGTACGCACATACCAAATACAGTTATCCTATTACTTATAATAAGAGAGAATTTAACATTACAAAAAATCTTAACTTTTTTTTCAAGTAGTCACTGAACCATGAAAATGAGGTCAAGGACATTGGACATGTGACTGACAGAAACTTCGTAACATGAGGCATCCATATACAAAGTATGAAGCATCCAGGTCTTCCACCTAAAATATAAAGCTTTTAAGAAGTAAGCTAACGCCGCCGCCGCCGCCGCCGCTGGATCACTATCCCTATGTCGAGCTTTCTGCGACAAAAGTCACAGGCTCGACAATAAAACCATAGACTTAATATGCTTATGCTTATGTATTCAGAACCTGACCATCAGACAACAAAATCTATATAACATCATAAAAAGATTATGGAAAATACATGTATCATGTTGAAATTACCTGGTATATTTAGATTTCTAGGAGCATACATGTCGCCCATAATGTACATTAAAGCCATATGAAACCAGTTTCTTGATTTCTACAGTTACTAAAATTATTGAACCAATGCATGTATATATACTAAACTAAGTCCTGTATGCACGTTTTTTATATTTTTTAAGAATCTATAGCATATTATCGACAATTAATATTTCACTCAGTGATTGTTGATCACAAGCTAATTAACTTTCAAGTTTGTTGCCGAAGTTTACTAGTTTGTTACATTGATAAACAATCAACACCGAGCATGTGAAGCATGTGACAAATAAGTGAATTGATAGAGCCATGATTTTTTTTTAATATTTTCCATGCCTTCCCATTTGTTAATTAAACTTTTCCTCATCAGTTGTAAAATTATTTGTTGTATTTAATTTGTTCTTTAAGAATCAGTTATTACTATTTACCTTCCAGTGCATGTTTTTTTTTCCATTTTTTCATCACACTTTGAAAATGACAACATATTCAAGTCTATTTTAGAAATGTTTCTATATGCTAAATATAAAATGTTTAGACCAGTAGGAGCAATTTTTGCTAATATTTTCTTTTTTCAATGTATTAACTCTTGGTTAAAATAAAAGAAGAATGTGTCTGAGGACACGAATGCCCGGCTCAAGCTTCAAACAAACAAAAATGGGAAGGATAGAAAGACGGAAGGACGGACTGTTAAGGGTAACACTAAATGCTTAAAAATAGAGTCTTTCATTTTACCTAAAATAACATAACTTTTTCAGATCTTCATTATAATGTTTCAAAATATCATTGTAAGGATCCTTCCTTAGAGGACTTTTCTCCACAACTGATGCATCCCAAGAAGTTATCAGTGGTGCCAAGTTTTCCTCTATTGACTTTGCTACATATTTATCAACAGGGGAGATAATCTAAAATTGAAAAGGGAAATAAATCAAATTTTCAATGATTATCACATGTATCATGTATAGATCTTTCAAGACTATTTATCTTTAATGAAACTTGATAAACTTGAAACCTTGATGGTTCTACTCTTCAAAAGGTTTCATTTCATGCACTTCAATGAAGGAATCTATTTTAAGCAACAACAACAAAAATTATGCTATTGGGCCTGTTTTTAAATGATATGATTCTATGATCTAAGATCACTTCATGGCATACATTACATCACATTTGTTTAATAAAACCATTTGTAGACTTTAAAATGATGTCACAATAGTAAAACCTCATGTGTGTTCAACAGTGTATTACTTATATATACAAACAATCAAAGAAGCATTATAATTATGGTCCTTTATTGCATTTCTGTCACCAAAAGAAATATTGATATTTTTGACACAGATAAAATGACAGATCCTAAGTATACGAGACCTGAGATCCATTACTTCCATAGACTTTGTAACCATTGTCTTCTTTAGGATTATGGGAGGCTGTAACCATGATCCCACAGTCTGCTTTACAATATATCACAGCATAAGCCTGCAAAATAAAGAGGTAAATATTTCAGTCCAAATGCCAAAAACTTTTTCACTTTTTATTGAAATTTAGTATTGAAACAGTAGTTTCCAAATTGAATTTTTTATGTGAAGTCTTCTTTTTTCTTTTTCTTTTTTGGGTAGTTTTGTGAGATTTTCACTTTCAATTCTGTGTCATTTTTTAATGTTCTTAGGGTAGTTGCTTAATATCCATATTTTTCCAAAGAACTATCACTTATAGCTCCTGATCATGAAGATCATAATGTTGATCCCTGAACCAAGATATGTGGTAAAAGTTAGGTGAATCCTATCTTACAGATATGCATATTACATGTAATGATTCTATATTCCAAGTTCATAGTAATTGGAGCAGCTTCAGAAGCCTTCAGTGCTCGCCACAAAGTCATGAATTCAAACCTTGGCAAAGTCAAACCAAAGACTTGAAAATTGGTATTTGCTGCTTCTCTGCTTTGCATGCAGCATTTAGGAGTAAGAACAAAGACGGGTTGGCTCAGAGTCAGAATAATGTGTCTGGGTAGAGAGGCATGTCTTTCTGTAGACTGTTACCTTGTGAATTAGTTATTTAAAAAATATGCTCAGCATGTCAGTCTAGTATAGGGTTCATATTTATATCAAATAAACACATAAAAATATGAAGATTAGAATGACAATACCTCTCATGGTTGAAATCTATCATTTATTGGCATGATTTTAAACATGGTTTGTATTACATATCAATAATTTTAGGGAACATATGAATAAAACATTTCTGTTAACAGTTTATTTTTGCATTGAATATAGTGAATGTTGAACAATGAAGAGTAAATAATGTGTAGAACATTCCTATCATAAAAAGAAATGTGTGTATTCATTATCTGAAATGTTTATTCTATTTATCCTGATTTATTGATCATTTACCTTAAAGTAATTCAATAACAGTGAGTACTAACTAGTATTACTTACTACATAAGGAGTTGGACAAACTCTGGAATAGAGGTAGACTGGTACATCTGCATTGATAAACACTGTTGTTGTCAACCAGGCAAATCTATAAGACAAAGTGAACACATAAACATTTTTAACAGTTTGGAAAAGAGGTGAACCAACAGGCAGCACATATATAAACGTTGATAAACTCTGTCACTTTCAACCAAAGCATAGTGAAAAAATATTCAAATACTGTTAAATAAGTTTGGAACAGATTTATATGGGTATGTCTGCATTGATTTTCAGTGTTAATTTCAACCAAACAGTATATAAATAAGAAGATGTGGTATGAGTGCCAATGAGACAACTCTCCATCCAAGTCACAATGTATTAAAAGTAAACAATTATAGGTCAAAGTACGACCTTCAACACAGAGCCTTGGATCACACCAAACCGCAAGCTATAAAGGGCCCCAAAATGACTAGTGTAAAACCATTCAAACAGGATTCAAACAGATCAGAATTAGTTGTGAACCTTTTGTTTTCATTTCTCAATAGATATGAAAAAGCAGATATTTAAATGTTGGTAAAAGATATAAAGATAATTGCTGCTTTGTGGTAGTACTAATAAATATTTATTTCAATAAACATGTATGTGCAAGTTGTTTTATTTCAATTTTTTAAAGTAGCTTAGTTTTATTTCAGAATTTATAGCATTTTGCCTTTCGAATGCTCAAAAATCATCCATCAACTTTATTCATAAACCAATATTGATCATCAATATGAAATAAGGAGATGTGGTATGATTGCCAATGACACAACTATCCACTAGAGACCAAATGACATCAAGTATGTAAATAAACTACAACATAACAACTTAATCAAATAAACATCACACATCTAAAAATGAAAAAGATCAAACTTATGCTGACAACTAATAAGACTGTAGAAGCACTAATTGGGAGGACTGACTTGTGAACATTCTTGAAAATGGTATCTTTTAATACAAAGGGATCACTTTTTTATGAACTTTTCAATCATCTAAGATAGTGTAGCAAACTTGGCAGTGTATTAAAGATGAAAAAGTCAGTTGACTTTCAAATATTTACATTGGTATGGAATTTCTGGGCTGTAAGAAGGTGTAAGCGTACAGTTTAAATTCCTGCAAAAGTACTATTTCTCATATCTGTGAACTTATGGGGACCAGTTTTCTCTGATAATATTTACCATAGATAATTGCATTCAGCAAAGATGCAGCTATATAAGATATGGAGGAGATCTGGTTTGAATTTACAGGAAAAAAACTGCAATTTGCGGGTATCAATTTTGTTTTGCCTAGTGTGAATTCGCATTGCCATACGACAACCTCGGCATTTATACATCCAACATTCATGTATTTAGTTATGATGTTTCTTTTGTAAGTTCGGTTGGATATTGTGTTATGTCTTATCGTTTGTGGTTTGAATTCTGTATTTTCGGTACATTTCACATGTCTTATTTGTCGGTATAGTCGAGTTAATTTCTATTTTGTCATGGATAAAGTATTGTGTAAGTCCAAATAATTATGACGTTGTCACAGCATTAATCTAAAATAGCCTTTCAAGACCGTCATAATCATGATAATTATTTGGACTAGTATTGTGAAAATAATTGTGAATTTTTGGATCTCGTTCCATATATTTGTATGAATTTCAAGATTATATGTACGTCACTTTTTGTGGCATTGATCCATTCATGTGACGCGCAGTTTGTGGTGACCTGTGCTGTCATTAATGGGAGATGTCCGTTGTTATTCTGCGGTTTACATGTTGTAATGTACTATTATATTATTTATTTATGCATTTCCACGCATTTTAGCGATATTTTTTAACATTGCCATATAAGCGGGAGGTTTGGCTAGCCATAAAACCAGGTTCAACCCACCATTTTTTCTTAAAATGTCCTGTACCAAGTCAGGAATATGGCAGTTGTTATCAAATAGTCCGTTTCTATGTATGTTGGCGTTTGTTTTTGTTGCAGTTCAGTGTTTCTGTTGTTTTCCTCTTATAGTTGATGTGTTTCCCTCGGTTTTAGTTTGTAACCTGGATTTGTTTTCTCTTAATTGATTTATGACTTTTGAACAGCGGTATACTACTGTTACCTTTATTCATGGATGGAGGAAACATTGTATTTTTTTGGGATACTTGAGTTCATGGTTGTTTTGAAGTTTGCATACAATTCTGTAGGAATTTTGTACTTTGATGAACACTTAAATTTGTGTTTCACATTTACCCATGAAATCCACGAAAAATTGGTACTCCATGAATAATTCTGAATCCACAGTATGTATATTTACCTTTCACTATTGTGTCTGCCATCATAACCAACCACCACACAGTTACTTTTAATCCACAGTGTGTATATTTACCTTTCACTATTGTGTCTGCCATCATAACCAACAACCACACCATTACTTTTTACAGATGGACAATTTTTTAACAAGTATTGACATAGACCCTGAAAATATAATTCACATATTATTATAATTATTTTTGTCAACAGGAATATATATTTTTTATAAGGACAAGCTTTGTCTCTGAATCCTTCTTACAAATTTTCAGTTTGGAATGCTTGTGCTCTGTTAATGTTAGTTTGGAATGCTTGTGATGCTTGTGCTCTGTTAATGTTAGTTTGGAATGCTTGTGCTCTGTTAATTCAGCCGTTAAATTTCTGAAATAATAGACTGCTAGTTGTTGATACTTGAATTTTTGTTTAAACTTTATCCAGAGGTTTAAAAAATAATAATAGAATCATTTTGGGAAAAATACTTATCCTTTCATATTAACCTCAAAAGAAAGACTTTTAGTTTAAGTATGGGAATACATGCACATAATTCAGGTACTAGAAGTAAAATAGACAGTGTATGTAATGCCAAAACACATTATTAAAAGCCCCTGATGATGATTCTTTAATTAAGGCTACGTGTTTTGGCATTACCTATACTTTTTATTTGTCATAACTTTTTCCTCTGATTCACATAATTAATACAGCTTCAACTAACGAGTCCCATTAGAGCTATTATGTTTAGAGACCTCTGTGTGTCAGTATTCTCTCTATTACACTTCTAGTAGTTAAATATACAAAATGGTCTGGAACATATATAACAATAATTCCTACCTGAGTAGTTTGGATAATTGTTAAATCATTCATCATAGAAAATCCTGCTGCCATTCGAGTTCTAAGTCCTGCAAAAAATATATATAAAATTGTATGCAATGATGAATTGAATTATCTATAGATTGGATTTAATTCTGGAAACCATAATCTTAAATCTTGTAAATGTGTAAACCCATACTAGAGTTAATCATGTATCTAAAAAATACAATTTCATGAAAACATGAAAAGAACTTAATTCTTGTTTGACTGCTTTTTTCTCTCATTTTACTTCAAAATACCTATAGTGTTTCAACCCCTTCTCACCCCAAAAAGAATTTTAGAAAGGTGATTCCCTTGTTGTGATTAAGATTGTGACACGGTGTTGACTGTACCCCTATTTTACATTTTTACCTATTATGTCTGTTTGTTTTATTCACACATCGTTGTCAATATAATGGAATTTGATGCGACTGTCATACAAGTGAGAGGTTTAGCGCTATAAAACCAGGTTCAATCCACCATTTTCTACATAAGAAAATGCCTGTTCCAAGTCAGGAATATGACAGTTGTTGTCCATTCGTTTGATGTGTTTGTGCTTTTGATTTTGCCATTTGATTAGGGACTTTCCGTTTTGGTTTTTCCTCGGAGTTCAGTATTTTTGTGATTTAACTTTTTTCCATAGATTTCTTCCTTGATTGCTTTTCAACAGAAAATTTGTAAAGAAACTTTGTAGCTTAATCTTAAAAACCTGCTATTCCTATTAACAAACAAATGCTTTGGTAAAAAGCTAACACTGTATATTTTGTGTTTTTGTTCAATATATATACATCTCTGTTAGAAGTGTTTTAAGATTCATCACTATCAGGTTCAATAGTCAATAGGTATATAAATTGTATTCATTTTATTTTATTACTGTGACTTGACTGTGAGTGTTGCTCTCCACCTATTGCAGTTTATTCAAAATCCTGATCAAATTGCAATTTGTTTTATCAAACTAAACTGTTCAACTGATAAGAAATTTCAACTAACTGCTGTAGAACATGTAGAAAGCCACAATCAAGTTGTGAAAGTGCAAGGTGATAAAATAAAGCATACTTATAATCTTATTAGACTTTAATTCCACTTCATTGGTGTTAAGAAATTCACTTGAAGAATTTCTATAGTATCATTGTTGAAATTGTCATTCGAAAGGTGATAGGTAGTAATTTTTGAATTGCTAAAGAAATGTCCTAATTTAAGTTTTTGAATTATTTCTTCTAAAATGGTGTTTTTCTATGCATGATACAACATGTACAAAGCTTTCTTTAAATTAATCTCTAAGATACTTGGTGAATTATCTTTAAGCTTAAATATGTTCTCTTGAAGTTTTAAAGGGAGATAAGATCAACATTTCAAAAGATCAATGAGTTCAGATTATCTCCCATGGAAACTTATTAACAACTTATTGTAATTTCACATATATTTTACTGAATATAACATGTTTTAACTCAAGCTGATGTCTGCTTCTTATGAATATAGAAGACTTTTTAAAGAAAAATTGTATGAAAGCTGATTTTGGAGTTTTTATAGCAATTCAAAAATTACTACCTATCACCTTCCGCATGACAATTATATAAAAACATTGTTTACAAATTCTGACAATGACTTTTCATAATATCAATGAAGTGGAATTAAAGTCTAATAAAATTATAAGTATGCTTTATTCTATCACCATGCACTTTCATAACTTGACTGTGGTTTTCTACAGCAGTTCGTTAAAATTTCTGACCAGTTTAACAATTTGGTTTGATAAAAACAAATTACAATTTGGTCAGAATTTTGAATAAACTGCATTAGGTGGAGAGCAACACTTACAGTCAAGTCACAGTAAAATACCCAAAATCTATTGATTTGATATCACGTTAGAAATTCTTAGTCTAACTTTAATGAATATAGAGACTTTTTTATTAGAGAGCTTAATTACTGCTGGTATATATTTGTTTAAGAAATAATTCATCCAAGCCATAAATTTGTCAGAAATTTTCACATGGCCTGGGCTGTTATATTTGAATTATATCCTGAGCATTGAAGAAGGATATAATTAACGAATAGTTATATATAGAGTTTTATCATGCTGTTGTTGACAAAGCGAATGAAGCATGTCATAATTAGAACTGATGATATATCTAAGCATTGTTATGTGTATTTACTAAGGGCTGTTCTAGATTTAAAAAACATGGGGGATGGGAGGCACTCAAATAATGAAATTCTAAGAAGTTGCATTTTCTGTAGAATTTTGTAAGAATTATAAGTAAAATAAAATTTTTGTATTATGGGGTCTAAAAAAATGTTCTCTAACAAATTAACCTGCAGTCCCAAACTCCATTCTTTTTAACAACCTTTTCTTTAGTTCTTCTATATTCTTTTCATTTACCAACTGTAATATGTCTGATCTTGTTGCCTCATTCTGAAAAAAAACAAAATATTCATAAAAATATTTTAAAAATTCTTTAAAATGCTTAATTATAATTATAATTGAAGAACCTTAAGTGAGCAAGCTCAAACACCTCATCCCCATTTATAAAGGAGAAAAGCTTTCTTTGACACGATAGTCTAGTTTTTTTCTGTTAACTTTAAATATCGTTATTTTCAGTTATGATTTCAAACACTATTTAACAGTCATGACAGTACTATTGTGCTACACAAATTCATTTTTGTAACGATGACCTTGACCTTGATCTAGTGATCTCAACATCAATTGGGTTCTTCATTTCATTATATGTGACCATATATCCAAATATTGGTGCAATTCCATTTGTAGTATTTGGTTGAGCATTTGGCACAAATGTCAGTCTATTTTTAGTAACTATGACCTTGACCTTGATCTTACTGACTTCAAATTCAAATGGGATCTTCTTCTTATATTTGACCATAATAAGCAGATTAGTGACTTACATTAATGTAGTGACAAACTATTGTTTCACAGTTGTTGAACTATCTTAAACAATAAAATATTAATTCAAACATAGTTGAAATAATTTGGGAGAAAAATTTACAAATAAAAACTTTTAAGTATCATGTAACTAAATTACAGGTGAAAAAATCCACTAGCCCATTGCCCTGAACTAGAACATTTATGCATCTTCAGTTTCGAAACAAAGAACTGTATATGAAAGGGGAAATAAAGCTGTTACATCATCAAAAAAGTACAAATTCATTTGATCTATTTTATCAAATATCATGGCCTTCAAAACAATGGACACCCACTTTGCATTATGCATCAATTTCTGAACTTGAAAAGCATACTCTGGCTAGCAGTTCTTCCAAATAGGACTAGTAAAATCCTGCTACCAATGAGTCTTAAGACTAGTGAACTGTAACAAAAAAAATGTTTAACCCCTGTTATCACAGATTCCAATACACCTTATCGCTACTTGTCCACCATTACTGGACATCACAAAGGTTCCCATAATATTTTGATGTCACAATAGGAAATGTTTGACGCTACAAAGGAAAAGTGATTGTTGTATGTCAATATTTCAAGTGTTGCAGATTCTCGAGTCAAGTGTCGCAGATTCCCAATCCAATAGCAATAAGTTCTATATACCCTCGCCTCCAGTGGCGTTTCGAATAAAGGAGGAATATATCAGTACCTACATTTAAACTGTAGTTGCATTCTACATTGCACATATGCACTTTGGGACAGGTCAAATTTTGTTAAGCCCTCCCCCATTTTTAACATTATTAGTGACCACTGTGGATAGAAATCTATATACATGTTATTTCTAGTATATTTATGTTAATATAAAATAGAAATAATTGATATTAATATAAAACAAAAAATTATCTGATTTTGGAAAAAAAGCAGTCTCACTAATTAGCGACAAGAAGCGTCAAGTAGCGACAAGAAGAATAATTTAGAGAAAAGAAGTGACAAGAAAGCAAATTTAAAATTTAGGGACAAGAAATTTAATATTCTATCAATAAATATAAATTTATAAAAACGTCAATATCTATAGTAGTAAAGCATCACACATGTTTGAAACATATATCTAATTGCTACATTAATTTGTGATATGTATTACAGCAAATATTACGTTTTCCGTCATATTATGATATTAATTTTAACTTGTGTTTTAGAACAATTAGTATATATTATCGGGTTTTATACACATTGATATCGTAAAATATCAGCCGTGAGCCACAATGTGAACTTTTTTGGCGAGTGAGCGCAGCAAACGAGCTAAAGAGCTTCACATTGTGTCGAGCAGCTGATATTTTACGATATCTATACGAAGAAAACCCGATTATCTGTTTATCGTTCTATTACTGGTCTTTTCCCCCTCCCTAAGACAGTTTCACACTTGACGAAAGCAAGCTTGATAACGTCTCCTTACACATTGTGACGTCGCTGATAACTTCTCCTCAGACATTGTGACGTCGCTGATAATGCCTGCTCTCGTCTCAAAGCTGTGATACGAAAATTACGGAGCGACTGAGCAGGGTGATAAAGGCGTAGGGAAGGACGATAATATATATTATCCTATAATTTTTTTAACAATCTCTTTGTCTAATATATAATACACTGACTGCATGCAAAATGCATTATTTGTGTGTCCGGCAGAAAAAAACAGACATAATTTGTGAGAAACAATGAACCAAGGATTTGTATAGTAAGATTTACTATACAAATCTGAAATCATTGAAATCAAACAAGAGGAAAACGTAATTAAAACGTAAATATTTTACATCATTTTATTTTGTGTATTGCCTCATTAAACGATATTTATGATGTTTATGCATGACTGAAGATTAAAGGTAATGAAAGACAATGTTGAGTTTTCAACAGGTGATGAGGTGTTCACTATTTACAATGCTTGTAATTGTATAGTCTGACGCATGTAAAAAGTTAAAGGTGATAATTGGATGTTATTGTAGCAATTAAAACAAAGGACACGCGTATCGCTTTTCTCATTTGATTTTTTTTCTAAACATATTTTTTTTTCTCAAAAAGGACAAATGGATTAGACACAATTTTTTTGACTTAGTAACGTCTTCTCATTTGATGTTTCACATTGTGTGTACTGTTATCTTCAATCTTTTATTTGGAGTTTGGTATTTTGGCGATTTTATTTTTTCATACAATGACTTTGCTAAGTAAAACAGTACATACATTATCTTAAACATATTAGTTATATTAAATAGAAACTTAAGACAATCCCTTTCTTCTTAACAAATGTTTAATTTCATCATCTATCAATATAATAAAAATAATGAAAATCACGTTATTACTGCCAGTATATATAAAAAAAAAATTTCAATGCATATTTTTTTAATATATTTAATTGGAATAAGTTAGTTTAATAAGAATTATTTTTAGTTTTCTTGTCGCTTCTTGTCGCCAGAGACATATAATACAACAGTCATGACATTGTATTATATGTCTCTTGTCGCTAATTAGTGAGACCCAAAAAAAGGGAAAGGGCTAAAAAAAATATATGATTTGCAGCATCTCAGTTCAAACAACACTTTTTGACTAACTTTGTCCCATTCAAACCATTCCCTAAGCCTTCTGTTTAATTCTTCATCTCCTGTATCGTAATTTGTAGCATTTAAAGTCATGCTTGCAATATACGCGAGAAAAGTATAGCAGACAGAATTCAAGGCCGTCAAGGGAGGTAATACGAAAAAAATACTATTTATAAATTACTTCTACTTTTTTAGAAAACGAATCTATACTATTACAGAATTATAAAGCAATAACTACCATATTTAAAACATACAAAAATCATAAAATCTTAAACAATTGTTGATACCAAGTCTGGATTATCGATAAAAGACTTACGGCTTATTTCCAATGAGGTCTATTTATATCAAAATTGTAGACCCCAATGAGACCCACTGAATTCCTATATATAAATTGTATGTCATCAAATTGACATTATCGATCAGATTAAAATGTAATCTTTTTGTTAGTTTTCTCAAGCTATGAAACTTATCAAAATATTATTAAGATAAAGCTCAAAAATATGTTGAGTGAGCAAAACTTGGATATTCTATGAGGGGCGTAAAAAGGGGGAGGGGGGTATCTGCACGGAAGAACGCGAAATAAAATTGCCATTTCACGATGAACGAACAATTAAAAATTTCTTGCACGTTGATCTTTTTACCGATTTCGCGAAACACGGTGACTAACGAACCTTTTTCACGGCTGCACGTGAAATAAAAATGGCAAAACACGTTGCACGGAAATAACCATTTACCACCCTCTTCTATCTTGACAAGGTAATACAACTAATTTCCCTTGACCCTCAACAACTCTCACATTCTCTTTGTTGACGCGAATAAGTTGAAAAACTTGTGTCTAATCCATTTGTCCAACAATAAAACATACTTAAACTTATAACTCTTTCAAGTTCATAACAACCTCTATCAATTCTGAGACTATGTATCACATGATCTTTGATTTCAGTAAATTTACCCTACATGTAGTATATACTTTTGTTTTAATATATGTTTTGTACATGGTTGAGTCTTAGTTGTTCGAGTCTATTTTCTATCACGATTCAGTTAAAAAACCCATACTACTTAATATATAATAATGCACGGTAGTTCAGTTTTCCACTTTTTCAATAAATCTAACAAATTTATTTTAAAATATTTGTAACTTATTTTTAAACTTATTAGAAAAACAGGAATACCACCCTGAACATGCGTATTCAATCTTAAATTAAAGCAGTATACAAAAGGTTTTCTAGAGTTTCTGATAGACATCGACCATGCGGTATGGGTTTTCTCGGCATCAGTGTTGAAGGCCGTACGGTGACCTATAATTGTTTATATTTTTGTCATTTGAACTCTGGTGGTTACTAGTTGTCGCATTGGCAATCATACCACACCTGCTTACTTTTTACTACAATTAAAGTATTTCCAGTCTTACGTTCACCTTTTGTAAGATATTAGTGACAATAGTTTCCCCAAACGAAATCTATATATGTTTAGACTAGTGTCAAGCTATCCAGCAATTCTCATCCTGCAATTCTCTTGGGATAAAGCTATCCTGCAATTCGTCATCCTGCAATTGCGTTCGAAAAACAACTTGAGTGACAATTTTATTTTTTTTAAAAATCATGGTTTTTGATTTGTTTTGTTTGAAAAAAAAGATAAATATATCAAGATTTTTATATCCCATTCACAAATTTCTAACTTTAGTTTACACATTTCTAACTCATCTTTACGGTCTATAACTATAATTTACAATTAGAAAAATCATGACGATTCACAAAGATTTATATATCTGTGAAGTCCCGGATATGGTTCGTTTTTATGCATGTTTAAGAATTTCTTGGGTAAGCTTTCTTAAAGGCCCAAAATAAAGCCAAATTATAAAAAATACACATTGGGGTACCCACTTTCCGACCCATTGTTTCGGTAGTTCTTTATGGCTAGGGATTATAGACTCTGCTTCAAAGAATAGCTATAATATAGTACTACATCGGTATGGTGAAGAATTTCTGGGGTAAGCATTCTTAAAGGCCAAAAATTTCGACCGAAATATGAAAATAAAGCCAAATTCGATAAAATACGCATTTGAGTACCCACTTTCCGACCCATTGTTTTTGTAGTTCTTTATGGCCAGGGATTATAAACTGTGCTCTAATGAATAGCTATTGGATATTACTACAACGGGGGGGGGGGGGGGGGGGGAGGGGGGTAAAGAATTTTTGGGGTAAGCATTCTTAAAGGCCGAAAATGTCGTCTGAAACATGGAAATAAAGCCAAATTCGATAAAATACGCTCTAGGGTCGGTCACCCACTTTCCAACCAATTATCTGGGTAGTTCCTAATGGCTAGGGATTATAGACTCTGCTTCAATGAATAACTATGTGATAGTACTGCAACGGGAAGGTAAAGAATTTCACGGGGTAAGCTTTCTTAAAGGCTCAAAATTTCATTCGAAACACGGAAATAAAGACAAATTCCATAAAATACGCTCTAGGGTCACCCACTTTCGTACCAATTGTCTGGTTAGTTCTTAATGACTAGGGATCAGAGACTCTGCTTCAATGAATAGCTATTATATAGTTCTACATTGGGATAGTAGAGAATTTCTGGGGTAAGCATTCTTAAAGGCCAAAAATTTCGACCGAAATATGAAAATAAAGCCAAATTCGATAAAATACGCATTTGAGTACCCACTTTCCGACCCATTGTTTTTGTAGTTCTTTATGGCCAGGGATTATAAACTGTGCTCTAATGAATAGCTATTGGATATTACTACAACGGGGGGGGGGGGGGGGGGGGGGGGAGGGGGGTAAAGAATTTTTGGGGGTAAGCATTCTTAAAGGCCGAAAATGTCGTCTGAAACATGGAAATAAAGCCAAATTCGATAAAATACGCTCTAGGGTCGGTCACCCACTTTCCAACCAATTATCTGGGTAGTTCCTAATGGCTAGGGATTATAGACTCTGCTTCAATGAATAACTATGTGATAGTACTGCAACGGGAAGGTAAAGAATTTCACGGGGTAAGCTTTCTTAAAGGCTCAAAATTTCATTCGAAACACGGAAATAAAGACAAATTCCATAAAATACGCTCTAGGGTCACCCACTTTCGTACCAATTGTCTGGTTAGTTCTTAATGACTAGGGATCAGAGACTCTGCTTCAATGAATAGCTATTATATAGTTCTACATTGGGATAGTAGAGAATTTCTGGGGTAAGCATTCCTAAAGGCCGAAAATTTCGTCCGAAACATGGAAATAAAGGCAAATTCTATAAAATACGCTCTAGGGTCACCCACTTTCCAACCAATCATCTGGTTAGTTCCTAATGGCTAGGGATTATAGACTCTGCTTCAATGAATAGCTATTATATAGAACTACATTGGGATAGTAGAAAATTTCTGGGGTAAGCATTCTTAAAATCCCAAAATTTCGTTCGAAACACGGAAAAAAAAACGATTTCTATAAAATACGCATTGGGGTACCCACTTTCCGACCCGTTAATTATGTAGTTCTTTATGGTTAGGGATTATAGACTCTCTCTAATAAATAGCTATTGGTTAGTTTACACAACGTGAAGGTAAAGCATTTCTGGGGTAAGATTTCTTAAAGGGCCAAAATTTCGTTCGAAACACGGAAATAAAGCCAAATTCGATGAAATACGCTCTGGTCACCCACTTTCCAACCAATTGTCTGGGTAGTTCTTCATGGCTAGGGATTATAAACTCTTTTTCAATGAATGGCTATTGGATATTACTACAACCGGAAGGTAAAGAATTTCTGGGGTGAGCTTTCTTAAAGGCTCAAAATTTCGTTCGAAACACGGAAATAAAGCCAAATTCGATAAAATACGCTCTAGGGTCACCCACTTTCCTACCAATTGTCTGGTTCGTTCTTAATGACTAGGGATCAGAGACTCTGCTTCAATGAATAGCTATTGGATATTACTACAACGGTAGGGTAAATAATTTCTTGGATAAGCATTTTTAAAGGCCGAAAATTTCGTCCGAAACATGGAAATAAATGCAAATTCTATAAAATACGCTCTAGGGTCACCCACTTGCCAACCAATCTTCTAGTAAGTTCCTAATGGCTAGGGATTATAGACTCTGCTTAAATGAATAGCTATTATATAGTACTACATTGGGATAGTAGAGAATTTCTGGGGTAAGCATTCTTAAAAGCCCAAAATTTCGTTCGAAACACGGAAAAAAAGCCGATTTCTATAAAATACGCATTGGGGTACCCACTTTCCGACCCGTTAATTATGTAGTTCTTTATGGCTAGGGATTATAGACTCTCTCTAATAAATAGCTATTGGTTAGTTTACACAACGTGAAGGTAAAGCATTTCTGGGGTAAGATTTCTTAAAGGCCCAAAATTTTGTTCGAAACACGGAAATAAAGCCAAATTCGATGAAATACGCTCTGGTCACCCACTTTCCAACCAATTGTCTGGGTAGTTCTTCATGGCTAGGGATTATAAACTCTTTTTCAATGAATGGCTATTGGATATTACTACAACTGAAGAGTAAAGAATTCATGGGGTAAGCTTCTTAAAGACCAAAATTGTCGTCCGAAACATGGAAATAAAGCTAGGGTAAAGAATTTCTGGGAAACGCTTTATTGAAGGGCCAAAATTTCGTTCGAAACACGGAAATAAAGTCAAATTCGATAAAATACGCTCTAGGGTCACCCACTTTCCAACCAATTGTCTGGTTAGTTCGTAATGGCTAGAGATTAGAGACTCTGCTTCAATGAACAGCTATTATATAGTACTACATTGGGATAGTAGAGAATTTCTGGGGTAAGCATTCTTAAAGGCCCAAAATTTTGTTCGAAACACGAAAAAATGCCAAATTCTATAAAATACGCATTTGGGTACGCACTTTCCGACCCATTAATTCTGTAGTTTTTTATGGCTAGGGATTATAGACTCTGCTTCAATAATTATCTATTGTATAGTACTACAATAGGAAGGAAAGAATTTCTGGGGTAAGCTTTCTTAAAGGTCCAAAATGTCGTCCGAAATATGGAAATAAAGCCAAATTGGATATAAAACGCATTTGGGTACCCACTTTCCGACCCATTGTTTTGGTAGTTCTTTATGGCTAGGGATTAGAGACTCTGCTCTAATAAATAGCTATTGGATATTACTACAACGGT